GCCTTTCACCCTCCCTCCCTCTTTATGGCTTCGGTGGCGCCTTCGTCAGCGTCTGCGGTGTTTCCTGCCCGCGTGTCCGGGTCTCCGTCGCCGCGAGTGCCTCTCCGCATCCGGCAAAGGACAGAAATTTAAATGCCGTTCAAAGTGGTCTTGGTTATTCGTGAGGTTAAAAAAAATGAAACAGATCGGCCATTAATATTAGCATGGCTGGCAACCGAGTAATGGCTGCCGAATGTGCTCTCCCCGTCCCTTCTCTTCGCGGGGTTCGCCTTCCTTCGCTCTTATCCTCCTTTCCCTTTCTCTCAGCGCATGCTCTCCTCCTCTCCTCGCTCCTCTTCAAGTGAGCACTCACTTCCCGGGCCCAAAATTCCATCACTGAACCTAACATTAGGTCACTTCCCTCTCGCCTGCATAGTGACTGCTTGTGCTTGTGCCTGCGCGTGGGTGGGTGGGAGTACCCGATACCCGATACCCGATACCCGCTCTTGTTTCCGGGTTGACTCGTGAGCGCGATGACGGGATGAATGGCCTCGAAGGGTCGTCCGTCGCGGCCCCGGGGACGCTAAGGGGAGGGTGAAGGGGGGGAGGGAATGGTGAGGAGGGAAGAGAGAGAGAGAGAGAGAGAAAGAGGAGCAGAGAGAGAGAGAGAGAGAGAGAGAGAGAGAGGAGAGAGAGAAGAGAGAGAGAGAGAGAGAGAGAGAGAGAGAGAGAGAGAGAGAGAGAGAGAGAGAGAGAGAGAAGAGAGAGAGAGAGAGAGAGAGAGAGAGAGAGAGAGAAGCGAGAGAGAGAGTTTAAGAAAATGGGAAAGACAGAGAGATATGGAGGGATGGAGAAGGGAAGGGGAAAGCGAGAGAGTGAAGGTAAGGGAAAAGAAAGGGAGGGGCAAAAGTGAGGAAAAGAGAGGGATGATGAAAGGGGAAGGGGGAAGGAGGGAGCTATGGAGAAACGTAAGGCATTTATGGTAAAGACGCCCATGGTCAGAGGAGGAAGGTGGACGGACGCGGGTAAAGGATAGAAAGCGATAGATGTCGATTGAGACGCAAGCCATACGCGTGGATAAGTCAGGAGGGATTAGAGGTGATTATGAGGTAATTCGGGGTCTGTGTATGGATGAAGGATATGAAGGAGGGAAAATGAAGGACTGGTGATAAGCATGCGAGGGATAGGGAGGGAAGGTCGTGGAGAAGGGTCGATAAAAGGCAGGGGCGGATGAAAGGTTGAAGCGAGAGACACTGAGCGAGGCCAAGGCAAGGAGCAAGCAGTTGGTAGGCCAGGAGGGAGGGAGGGAGGGAAGGAGAAGGGAGGAGGGAGGAGGGAGGAGGTTAGGATGGATTCCTTGGGGGAAGGGGGTAATGAGGTGTGTATAGGAGGGGGGGGGAAATTGGCATGCCCAGGGTGGGAGGAAGGATGGGAGGGGTAGGGCGGGATACCCAGGAGGAAGAGGTAAAGCGGAATGCCCAGGGTAGGAGTTAGGGTGGGCATGTCCAGGGTTGGAGGGAGGTGGAATACCCAGGTGAGCATGAGATAGGGTGGAATGCACGGTAGGGGGGTAGGGATATGCATGGGGAGATTTGTGGTTGAGTAGGGGTATGCTGAGTGGGTGAGGTGGGGCGGAATGCCCTGGAAGGGGGAGGGGTTATGCATAGGAGGGGATGAGGCAGAGTGGAATGCCCAGGAGAGGGAAGGTGGAATGCCCAGGAGGGGGAGGCACGGTGGTGGGCATGGGAGGGTGAGGCGGAGTGTAATGCCCACAAGGGGGTAAGGTGGTATGCGTGGGGGGGGGGCTGTGGGTCAGGTGAAGGTGGGCATTGTTTACAGCGCAGCGGCTTGGTTTATCCGAGTGCCGCGCCCAGACGAGAGTAAACAAAACGGACTGTGTCGGGAGTGCTCCTCATCTCCTTGGATTAGCGTCGGCTCCTCTTCGTCTCCTTTTTCTTTTCTCCTACTCTCCTCCTCCTTCCCTTTTTTTCACCCGTTTCATTCCTTTACGTACATTTTCCTGTTTTTTTTTATCTTTTCGCCCATTCCTTCCTCATCTTTTCCCAGTTCTCGGTGCCTCCCTCTCTTCCTCTTTCTTCGCCTCCCATCTCCTTCCCTTACCCTACCGCCCTTTATCCCCTTCTTCTCACTCCTCCCCCCTTCCCTCCCCTCCCCCGCCATATCAAGAAACGAGAAGAGTATTTTTGGAAAGTTTATTAGCACCTTATCTCTTGTGGAAGAAACGAATAAAAAAGAAAAAAAAAACAGTATTTGGGCGAAAACTAATTATATTAATGATAATGATCATTAGTTGGAAGGAGAAATATTCATTGAATGTAATCAAATAAATCAGATGGATTAATACTATAAAATAAAGCGGTAACACTCCAGGTGGAACATGAGATATTTTCTTTTTCTTCTTTTTTTAGTCAGCGTTCAGGTGGAGTGTGGCACTGCGGGCAGCCGGCGCAGATAACGGGGCTCAGTCAGTCTAGTGGAGTGCCTCTCGGGGTGAGCGTTA